GTCAGGAAGCATGTCGTGTGTCTTTAAGGTTACTGATGCGTCACCTTTGTGAACAAAGTTACAAACAACATAAAAAATTAAAAACTGCTTTGAAGTTATTCTGACTTAAAGGATGAAACGGCAAAGAGAAAATGCCATTTAAAGTTTTAAAGAAGAAAAAGAGCTTGAAGGATCTCCTCAGGAAGTTGTTACAAAACACTGACAAAGTCCCGATCGTCCTGCAGAATGAATCCATCGTTGAGGTGCTGTCAGCTCCTGCTTTTGATGCATTTCCATGCTCTTTAACATAAAAATAAATCTGGTAGACCTTGGGCCCAACTTTGGAAGGACTGACATCAGAGGTTATGAAAGGAGCTACAACAAGAAAATTACCAGTGACTGGCTGATGGAGTCCTCATTTTCTTCCCATTTAAATAACGCCAACTTCTACATCTGTGGCCTGCTTCTTTGAATTTCCTGACATTAGTCGTTCTGACTTTCAGCCCCAAAGTGTTGAGTGCTGGTGTCAGCCTTTTGGCTTTGGGACCAAAAAACAAAAAAAGGCAGGAAGCGTTTACTGAGGACCTCGCGTAAGGTGTCAGACTGATGCAGAGACAATAACATCAACAGCTGCAGCAGAGCACCTCTTCATCAGGAACCTTTAAAATTAAGACCATTTGTGGGTGCAAAGACTTCCTGTTCTCCTGAAGCCGTACTCATCTCCACAGCATGAATAAGACACAGTGTGACTGTAGTTCACAGCAGAAAGGAGACATTTTTAAGTAATTCTCAGTCGGCTTTGAATACACAGTTTATAAGATAAGTGTGACTCACAGTCAATTAAAAATTAGATTCAAAGATTCAAACGTCATTTAAAGGAGTCCAGATGAATAAAAGGGGATTGCGTGCTTATATTTGAATAAATCCTGTAATCTCAGAGTTTGGGGTTATTGCATGACGTCTACCGTTTCCAGAAATTAATATCTGGCATTTAGTCCATCGATCTGAGCCCTTACTGGAAACCTCTGAGAACAAAATCCAAAGCAGATGTCAGAAGTATATTTGTTTGGCTCAGACGCTGATAAATGTTAAGAATATATCTTAATCACAATTACACACTTTCACTCAATGTGTTGTTCAGCCATTGACCTGTGCGCTGAGGGGAAGCACGACTGTGAACAAGTCTGCATCAGCGCGCCGGGCGTCTACACCTGCGACTGCAACAAAGGATACACGCTCAATGAGGACGAGAAGACCTGCACACGTTAGTCAAGCCCTCGTGCAAATACACACAGGTGTACACGCACCTGCAGAAACACACCTACAGTCAGAGAAAAGGCTGCTCTTTCTCCTGTTCGTTCTATGAGTTAATATGAAATGCTTGTTGTTTCCAGCTCCTTTAAAGTCAGGACTGAAAACTGAGTCCATCTGGGTCTCTGTTTGGAAACATCACTTTTATTTAACACATGCAGAGTAAAACTAGACACTTAGAGTCACATTCACTCACTATAACGTTATAAATTGGGCATAACGTGTGTGTGTGTGTGTGTGTGTGTGTGTGTGTGTGTGTGTG